TCCTCTAAGCCCTCTCAGCCTCTACTTGAGTACTGGCCTTGTGGGACCTGCATTAACTACTTGTCATAAGATTCCAGTTAGGTCAGTTAAAGAGCCCCTCCCAGGATAGTTTATCATCCTCAACATCTCATCAAATTCTTCATCCCCTATCTTCAATATTACATCAACCTGGTCTGCCTTCAGTTAAGAAACCTGTTAAAATGGTTGGGCCAGAATTTAGCCCTTATCAATGGCATTTCATTTTAGGAAATATCCACCCACTGGCTATAGGTTCTCACTTGTTTATGATGTTTTTGTTTAACTGACCCCAGTTCTATACCAAGGTCTCTTTTCTCTATTGCAATAATTCCTAAATAAATTGTTTTGTTTTGATTCACTGATTGAATTACTGTCAGATTCTGATTTTCTTCAACAGTATATAACCCAAAGAGTTGAAAACAGGGTTTAAACAAATACTTCCATACACATATTCATAACAGCACTATCACAGTAGCTCAAAGGTGTGAACAACCCAAACGTCCACCGCTGGATGGATGGGTAAATTATGGTATATACATACAAATAAGATGGAGTATTAGCCATAAAAAATAATCAGATACTGATATTTGCCATACAGTGGACGAACCTGGAAAACACCTTTATGTGAAAGCAGACAGCACAAAATGATCATATAATCCATTTACGTGAAATACTCGTATTAGGTAAACCCAGACTGAGTCTGGGCTTCAGTCCATGGGGTCGCAAAGAGTCGGACAGGACTGAAAAGTGACCTCACTTTCTTTCTTTCTTTCGAGTCTGAAAGCAGTTGTTCCTGCTAGGTTCCAGGAGCGAGAAGAAAATAATTCTTAATAGGAATGAAAAAAATGGTTTGCAACTAGACATTGTTAGTGGTCTTACAACATTGCGATTATACTACATACACAGAATTGAGTATTTAAAGATGTTTCATTTTAGGTTTTTTGAGTTTCACTTCAATAGTATTTTTTTTTTTAAGTTTATAACCCAACAGCCGAAGTTGTTCAAAAGTGCAGAATTACAATCAGGCACTGCAATGTGCCCTGATTATTCCGCTTCTGAGTTTTTAGAACTCTTCAGTGAGGTGTTTTGTTTTTTAACATTAAATTCATTGGCATTTGACTGGTACACCATCACAAACTGCAAGGCCGGCACCAGTATAGGCAAGAATGGTGGGGTTCCTGAGCATGAGGATGGACCGAGCAACAAGGCTAGTTCGTTCCAAGCTTCTTTCACTGTAGTATTTCAACCGGGCTCCCTACCTCACAAATAGTCACAAGCTACCTCGCCTTTTACGGACCTGGACGCCGGGTCTGCGAAGGCGCTCGTGGACCTCGCCCAGTCACCGGGCTCGAGTCACTAAAGGGCACGCGGGGGCGGACCCAGGCGGGAATATCCCGGCGTCGAGCCCAACGACCGCGGCCCAGCCTGCCCACCTCCACCACTTCCGCCCGCGCCGGCCGCCCGCACCGCCCAGCGCGCCAGTCGGAAGTGTGGGCGCCGGAATAGGCGGTCGGCGGGCCTGTGGCGCCGCGCGGGCCGGAGCGGGGGCGGGGCGTGCCGGGACAACGCGTAGCAGCCAGCGCGGGGCCCAGGTCGGTGCTCCGCGTTTTGGCCGAGCAGAGGGCGCGGTCAAGAGTCGGCAGCCTGCACAGGTGGGCCGCGGCGGGAGGGCAGGGGCGCTCTCGCGGCGGGCGGGGTAGGCGCGCGAGACTAGGGGCGGGGTCAGAGGGGAACGAACGGCTTCCCGAGTGGCTTTTCGCCGCTTCCGGGGCCCGGCGCCCGCGGGAGGAAGACGGTGTTCTGGGAGACGCGGCGGGCCAGGCCGAGCCAGCAGCACCCCCGGCGGTCGCCTTCGTCGCCTCTCGGGTGTTTTAGTTTTGTGCTGACGTTTGGTTTGCAGTTACAGGTATTTCCGGAAATTCGCTAGAATTTCGCACAGCGCTTTTTGTGGGGAGGGTGGCGGGGGCGGGGTTTTTGGTGTCCATATTGAATAAGACTGTCAGCTGGGCTGTGGAATTGGGACGTTTTTCAGGTAAAGTCTAAGTTGTTAACAAAGCTCGAGCAGTTGCCAGATACTCACGTCCGTCAGGGAAGTCAGTGGGATTGATGGCGATATTTAGAATTGGATTGCTGACGATCCTCGCCGTGGTTCTTGGGAGTTCAGAAATAAACTTGGCGAATAGCCGCCCCTGGAAGCCATCTCCGTTAACCGTCACCGGGGAGGGGCCGCGCCTATTAGTCTCTGTTAGGACTCGGGATAGAAAGTGATTAGCTCGGTTTTCGGAGTTACATTGAGTACAGTGAAAAATGTTTGATAACCATGATGTAAAAATAGATCAAAATTAAGACAAAGTATTAGTCTGAGCAGAATCAAGTCCTTATTTTAAAATGCTTTTAAAAATTCAAAAGGTGCTGGGTTGAATGGTCTGAAGGTTGTAAGATTTAATAGTAAAAATCTCAAGATTAAAAAGAGGAGTCTGAATTCCGGTCTAGCTGTGTGCTCCTGACCAAATCACTAGTTCTGAGAGCCTTATTCTGTAAAATGGCTACGATGATAATTACAGTAGTTTTCTCACAGTTCTAGTAAATTCTGTATTACGGTCAGAATGTTTGGATTTGTAAGTGGTTGTGGGGTTTTGTAGTACTTAAATACTTAAAGTCACTAAGCCTTCCTCTTCTCCATCCCCCACAGTTTAGTGACAAGAGGTCTGATTTTAAAGTCATCACATTTTGCCTATACCTAGTGTATCTTCATCAGTAGATTCAGGGGTCAGAAAAATTTCACCTTAAGTTCATCTTAAATCTCCCATGAACTTTTGTAGAATAGGATTAACGTCATATTCATTTGTGAAATGCTTATTCCTGGAACCTGGACGGTGCTTGTCAATTTTGGTGGGTTTGTGAATTTTTTCCTGTCTTCTACCTTCTTTTTAAAGACCGAACTGGCAAAACTTATGCTTTGGGTTCACCCAAAACAAACCAAAATAATTTTACATGGAAAATACTGTTTTCTGTTGCTTAAAGGTGTGCTCAGTTGTGTATAGACACACGGGGTGATTACAAGGAGTTAGGTAAAGAATTAGATTACAAATAAGCTTTATTTAGCATCACTTTCAGAGCGAACAAAGCATCTCTGTGAGAGGCAGAGGAGATCTAGCAGTAGACTTCAACATTGGCAGCACTTTTGAATTGCTTAGAGAGAGTTAAAAATACTGACCTCTGGGCCCTAATCCAGACCAATTAATGAGCATTTCTGGAGGAGCATGGGTATCCCACCTGTTAACAGTCCCCAGGGTTACTCTGTTGTGCAGCCAGGATGAGAGCTTGTGTATTAGAGGAATGATTTTCTTCTAGAGTGTATCTTGTTTGCTCGAGGAAGGGAAAAGCTGGAAGGACTGGAGCTACATTGGACAGTGTAGCCTGGGGCATTTGAGAGAATGTTAAAGAGGACTTTTATCTGTGGGTGTGATGAAATGTTTTGATTTGTAAAATGAACTGTGCAGTGACCCAGGCCAGAGGGCAGGCTGTTAAAATCCTGAGTCACAGAACAGTAACTGTGAAGATAGAAGAAATTAAAGAAACATTCTCTCCTGGATGTTAAATATTTGTAAGAAATTGAGTAATGATTTTAACTTGCAAACTTTTTTTTGCCCTACCTAGTTAAAACTGTGTTTTTCAGAATGGGTGAATAGACTGTCAATGTGTGAATTTGTGACTGGTTATTTTTAAAGCGTCATACAAATATATATACTTCAAACAACTTTCCTTGTTAATTACTAAGTAATCTGATATATGTTGACTTATGTTAATTTAGGGGTTTTGTCATTTTTGTTTTTCAGTACTCTTAAGATTGATTTCTAAAGATATGATTTTCATCCAGCTTCATCAACGCACATAAATTTTCTCCTTTTTGGACTCTTGTTTTATATCACAATGGTGAGCTACAAATCAATATGTTAATATTCTTAGAATATTCTCTTCCCTCAAAAAATATCAATATGAAACAAATATTCTTGTTAACTGCTCTAGTTACCCTACCTGGGAAATTACTTAGCAATTGCATGCAAAATCTTAAAATATGAGGCTCATCTCTCAATTCAGTATTATATTCATAACCAGGGTACACAGATAATCTATCTGTCCTTATTTATGTGAAGTAGTAAAAAAAAAAAAAAAAAATTACTTCCATAGAATTCTCCAGGCAAGAATAATGGAGTGGGTTGTCATTCCCTTCTCCAGGGGATCTTCCCAAACCACAGATTGAATCCTGGTCTCCTGCGTTGCAGGCAGATTCTTTACCATCTGAGCCACCAGGGAAGTCCTCTATTTACTTTACCATAGTCCAAATCACTGGCAAGAACCTTGGGTATAAGTTTAAATAGTTTTAGGGGCACAGGTTTCTCATATTTTGAAGTTCTTGTTAGTACAGATTTTTTTAAAAAATTAACAAATATAACCTGCTTACTGCAATTAACATTTAAGCAGCATTAGGGTTAGCCTTCTAATGGCACATTTCTGCTTACCACTTACGGTCACTAAACATACTTAAGGCTGGGCATTTAACTTTAGACATTAAAAAATTAAAAACAGAAGAAAAAGATCACTTTCTGATGTTACAAAGAAACAGCATTCGACAGAGATATAAAGAGCACTGACCACCATGTTGAATAAACTTCAGAAAACATGTGTCTTCTCTTGTTGGGATCTTGCCTGTGTATCCTTGCCTTTTTAGAGAAAAGTGGAGCTATCACAATGGGTTTCTTAGCTTATATTTTGCTTTCATATTATCTTAAGTATTTGAATGCAGTAGTGAATATATGATACTAGCATTTACATATGCAGGTATATCTCACTAGACCCTTTACAGTTTTGATATCAGAAGATTAAATATTTGAGAAGAGTGGCTGTTTGAAATTGTCTTGGAGTATACATTTGATTGTGTTTTATAACTTTTTGATAAGTTATAAGCTTACTCTATAAGGTTTTATGGCCAAAATAAAAGAACCTTGTGTTTTTGTCAAGAGTATATAATGGAAAATAGTTTATGCTCAAGAATCTAATTTTGAATCCCTGGGAAACAGTTTCACTGAATTCTGCCCGTGAGATTTTTTAATAAGTTGATATAAATTTAATAACCTTCTGAAGTAATGGCATATTTCAGACTTTCTTTTACCTACTCCATTCAGATGCTTGATAATGTACAGGTTCTATCGCTCTTCTAAAAGGCTGACTGTTTTTGTAATGTTAATTCTCCATCCTTATAACTGGGATGACAGGGTCACCTCAGCCTTTGTGATTTCTGAGACCTGGACATATATGTTCTTAATCCTGCACGGTTGGGGTTTTGATGGGTGCTAGGAGTTTTTACTCCATGGAATTTGGTAGATTGAATTGTTGGAGAGTCCAAAATGACACAGAAAAATATAGGTTCTTAAAAATAAAAAAAGAAAATTATTTGCCTCTCAGTGAAATTAAAAGTGATTGTCATTGTGAATGAAAAATGGTATAATTCTTTGTGATACCCAAACTACAAAACTAGAAAGAAATTATTGGTGGTATATTGGCTTAAATTTTTTTAAATCTAGTACTTTTTATTGTTGGGTATCTTTGCAAAAGCATGCTATACAGGTAAAGAAGACAGAGGTTACCCTTCTTATTACTCTCTCTTGCCCTATAAGACAGGTCTCTAAGAAATCACACTTGATCTTAGCCAAGAGCGATTCTAAGAAATCAAAGAAGGATGGGGATCTACTAGTAGATCTCAAACTGCATGCAGTAATAACACTGTATTTTCATCAGTTCTAAGGTGCATCTGCTTTTGCTTTTACATTTTAATTACTGAGTTAATAATGTATCTGTGATACAGTCAGTGACATCTTAAATTTATTGGCAGCATACTCTAATTCCCTAATGTTAAATAATAATTCAGGCATGTAACTGATGGTATCTTAAATTCATTAAAAATTAGTAAGGGTAGCCATCATTTATTGTGTTTCTACTAGGCACTGGCCTAGTTTCTATACATAATGTTAAGAATGTCTGAGTTGATACTGGCCACCAACATAATAGCCCCCTCAGTTTTTAGGATTCCTAGCAGCTTAAGGGATTTTAGTTTTTGCTTCACTTTAATTGCATACCTGATAGCCAGTATATTTTCCTGAATGATGCTCTTAAAATGCTGAAGTTTATAAAATGGTAATAGTTACCATATCGAATCTTCAGCCCTATATCAGCTGTACAAGCATGACCAGAGAAAATCATTATAGCATTTCTTAACTAATTTGTGGTCAGAATCAGATGTCTGAGATGACCGTATTTTTTCCTGTAATATGTCTTGAGCATGCAGTGAGGTGGGTGGAGGAGACAAAGAAAGGAAAATGTTATACCTATTTTAAAAAGTAAAACACATTTAAAACATTTAATTAGAAAATGTTATATGTGTATTAAGTTATTTTTGTGTGAAAATAACTAATGTGATAAAATACACCATTTACTTTTTACAGCAACAAGCTTTAGAACTAGCTTTGGACCGTGCAGAGGTGAGGCATGACTAAGTTACATATTGAAATAGTGTTGTCTTTAATTGACAAAACACGGTTTAAAGAGATTTTTGTATGTGACTGTCTAGGACGTACATTAATATTAGGATGAGTATACTTTCTGTAAATATATATATAAGAATACCAGATGATGTTTGAATCATCTGTTACTTGGAATGCTCAGATAGTAATGTTGTGGAATAAAAACTGAACAGTATTGTGAGTTAAATATTTGAACAAGGACATAGAGTTTCTGAAACTATGTTTTCTGTTTTAAGCAATTTTCTATTTGCTTAATTAAAGGGGAAGTAGCTCAAATATATAGAGTCTTTGTGATTGGGTATGCTGTATATATTCTGAACAACTATAAAACATTGAAAATATTGACTGTGAAAGCACAGTGGTGAAATGGTATGGTTTTGCTCATAACATGCAAGTAAATATTGAGCTAAATTTTACTACAGTTTAAATTTCACTTGTTTATTACATATATTTAGAAGTTTAGTAGGTTTCCCTAAAAGGTATGATTTAATATACATGCGGGACTCGAATAACTGAATAGTCTTTAGCCTTACACATGATTTAAATATACTTAATGCAGTTGTTCATGCACTAAGCAAAAGGCCAGCTGTTTTCTTAAACTTTTCTTTTTTAGTATGTCATTGAAAGTGCCCGGCAGAGACCTCCTAAAAGGAAATACCTATCTAGTGGAAGGTATGAGTACTTAATTGTTGGTATCTTAGATATGCTGAAATGTGATGATAGCCACCATTTATTTCTTACTAGACACTGAGCTAGAAATGTTGTATCATGGGTACTTTGCATATATAGTTGACCCATGAACAGTGTGGGTTTGTACTGTGCAGGTCCATTTATTTGTAGATGTTTTACAGTAAACACTACTGTACTTCATGGTTGAATCTGGATGCAGAGGAACCACAGATACAGAAGGCCAGCTATAAGTTACATGAGGATTAACCTCCATGTTGTGCAAGGGTCAGCTGTATTCGTAATTTCTAAATTGATGTTAGCTGCCATGTCCAGCCCCTCTTCACCACCCAGTTTTTGGGAAATTGTGGGGGGAATGACAGAAAAATTCAAAATGCTTATTTTATGATTATTATATTCACAGTACTTTGTATGTTGTCTTTGTTTTATTTTAGAAAATCTATATTTCAAAAACTTTATGACTTATATATTGAAGAATGTGAAAAAGAGCCTGAGGTTAAGGTAAGTATAATTTTTTTGTATCATTATGGCTTTTGAAATGTAGTGGAAGAAGCGAAGTTTGAAGGAATTAGATTTGAAGCACGTAACGGTTTGTATTTTTGTTAGTGAACAAATCTACTACTTTCTAACCAGACTACCTGGTTCTGCAGCTAAACTAGAGCTCTGGCTAATCTGGCACCAGGCAGATAGCCTACTTGGTAGGAGAGGTGAGCAAACTCAACATGTTTGCTGAGTAACAGGCTATCTCATTGGGAAGTTCGAAGAAGCGAAACCACCATGTATATTGTCTTTTGCTTCTTTTTCTTCCTGAGAAGTTACTTGTAGACCAAAGATCAGGAGAAAAGTAACCTATCTCCTCATGGTAGTTTGCACTGGAAAGTTAGAACTATTGCAGGACATGTAGGAAATTTAGATACGATAATAAAAGGTGAATTTGGTCACAAAAATCAGTTCATGGCCAAGTTAAATTTATTTTTATTGAGCATGAACATATGGGCAGTAGAAATGTAATAGAAATTGATTTCTTGATATTTTTTGGACCTTTGGGTTGTAAGGGCCTTAAAGGCTCTAGTGAGCTTCTGTTGTGTGTCTTTAATTTAAAAATGAATACCTCAGGCAAAAAATCAGTGGAATTCTAATAGTATCTGTTTTTAAATATTTAGGAAAAACATGATTGTGAAACCACGAGTTTTATGGCATGTTTTCCATACATTTTATTAGGATATAGTTGACCTACAATAATTTGTGTATGTTTGAAGTATGTAACACATTTTGTAAGTTGTGACATGCATTGTTATTTAAAAAATTGAGTATAAATTTGAAGATCTAATTGGCCTTATTAAACGACTCATGAATTGGACAGCATCTCATCAGACAGAAATATTCTGAGGAGTTACACAACATGGAAGAGGTATATTGTTAAGGAGGGCAGGACAAGGAAAGAAAGTCATCAGCAAGGAAAAACTGAGTTCACTCGAGGAAAGTAAAACTTTAAGAGATGCTGGCTTTTCGTAGGCTGAATTACAGGTGTTTTCCATTGGCTGAGCTGCAGTCCTTTCCCACTCACAGAGCTTGTTGCTGGGCAAGAAGAAAGTCTTCCCCCAGTTGGGGAAGGAAAATAGTTGCATTTCCTATTTAGGAGTGCTCGGTAATCTCTTCCTGGTGGGATCAGTAATTGATGTCTTCCTGGTGGGGTAATGGATGATGAGTGGTGGAGCAGGAGAGTTCCCTCTGCAGGCCTTCCCCACTCCAATTTTAGTTGAGGTTTCCTTTTATTAATTTTCACATTATACACCCATCAGTTATCACCACAGTCTGTATGATGAGCATACATAGAACTAAGGTAGGAGAGATAATAAAAGATTCCAGATTGGTGTTGACAGCCACTGTCCACCAGCCGGATCTGGCTCACAGCATGTTTTTGTAAATGAACTTTTCCTGGAATCCAGCAACACCCCTTGTTTATGTCTTGTCAGTGGCTGATTTTGAAATAAATATCATAGTTGACTAGTTGCAACACAGACCTTATCACCTATAGGCTAAAGTGCTATGTGGTTCCTCAAGAATAAAGACATTTTATAGCTTTCCATCACAGTGGTTAAAAGTTGCTTTGCTTTGCTTTGTAAAGATTTATTATTTTCAAAATAGGTTTTGTTTCTATGTTGACTATAGACTAAGAATTCATAATTTTTGCATATGACTATATTTATCAGTTCAGTTCAGTCGCTCAGTCCTGTCCGACTCTGCGACCCCATGAATCGCAGCACACCAGGCCTCGCTGTCCGTCACCAACTCCTGGAGTTTACTCCAACTCATGTCCATCAAGTCAGTGATACCATCCAGCCATCTCATGCTCTGTTGTCCCCTTCTCCTCCTGCCCCCAATCCCTCCCAGCATCATGGTCTTTTCCAATGAATCAACTCTTAGCATGAGGTGGCCAAAGTACTGGAGTTTCAGCTTCAACATCAGTCCTTCCAATGAACACCCAGGACTGATCTCCTTTAGGATGGACTGGTTGGATCTCCTTGCAGTCCAAGGGACTCTCAAGAGTCTTCTCCAACACCA